CTTCCCTTACTTTCTTCCTTCTCTTTCCCTTTCTTCTCTATTTCCCATTTCCTTTCCCTACTTTCCATTTCCCTTTTCATTTCTTCCTATCCATTTTCTCTTTCCTATTCTTCCCTTTCATTTCATTTCCTTCCCTACTTTCCCCATTTCCTGGCCCACACACATAATATAAGTAGGACCTGCCCTGGCCACTCTCCTCTCCCTAGTGCCAGGACTAAGCTGGCACTGGCTGACAGATGGCACTGTTCCCACCTCCTGACGGCCCACACCAGGAGGAAGAGAGAGAGAGGAAGAAGAAAGACAGGAAGAAGAGAGAGAGGAAGAAAGAGAGGGAGAAGAAAGAGAGGAAGAAGAGAGAGAGGATTTTTTTGACACTGTTAGGGGAGACTCCATGTGTTGTGCGATTTAGGGAGAATGGGAGAGAGGTGGGGAGAAAGGAAAGTGGTGGGGGAGAAAGGGAAAGGGTGGGGGAGAAAGGAAAGCAGGGGGAGGTGGGGAGATAGGTGGGTGGAGAGGGAAAGTGGTGGGGAGAAAGGGAGAGGTGGGGAGAAAGGGAGAGAGGTGGGGAGAAAGGGACAGTGGTGGGGAGAAAGGGAAAGGGTGGGGGAGAAAGGAGATAGGTGGGTGAGAGAGGGAAAGTGGTGGGGAGAAAGGGAGAGAGGTGGGGGACAAAGGAGAGAGGTGGGGGAAAGGAAAGTGGTGGGGAGAAAGGGAGAGAGGGTGGGGAGAAAGGGAGATAGGTGGTGAGAGAGGGAAATTGGTGGGGAGAAAAGGAGGGGTGGGGAGAAAGGGAGAGGGGTGGGGAGAAAGGGAGAGGGGTGGGGAGAAAGGAGAGAGGTGGGGAGAAAGGAGAGAGGGGGTGGGGAGAAGGAGATAGGTGGGAAGAAAAGGGAGAGGTGGGGAGCGAAAGGGTGGAGAAAGGAGAGGGGTGGGGGAGAAATATCACGACTACCACCACTCATCCATCATTATGAGAAGTGGTTGACATAATCTGCTTGTTCCTGGCTACCCTCCTCCTCCTCCCCTCCTCCTCCCCTTCTTTATCTCCCTTCCTCCTTTTCTTCTCTCCCTCAGCCTCCCTTCTCCCTCCCTCTCTCAATCCATCTCATCTTCCCACTCACCTCCTCTCCCTTCCTCTCATCTTTCCCACTCACCACTTCAACTCTCCCTGCCCTCCCCCCTTCCTCCTCTCCACCAATCAGCACCTTGCCTCAGCCGTCAGCCAATCAGACGTAACAAGAAACATTCACCATCCCAGGCCTCTGATTCTAGAAGGATCTTACGAGAAAAAAAAATTCTCGTAAGTCAAATAAAAAAATCACGGAAATTAAGGTCCAAGATGGCGGCTTTAGTACACTGAGACCTGACCTTAAATAGATACGTTCTCTTAGTCATAATTCCCTTAAGGTAATTTATTTTCTCGTAAATGATAATCTGAATGTATCTAACTAGCTGACTTGACTCACAATACCTATATAACATCCAATATGGCGGCATTATCACCCTGAGACTCGACTTTAACTACATACGACTATTTTAGCATCGTGACAAAAAAATACCTTACGATTTTTTTTCTGGATATTAAAAAAAAAATCATAACTTTAATATTTTACCCAAATTAGGTCACAAAATAATTAGTTAAGGTAAAGTCTCATTGTTATTTTGACGCCATCTTGGATTTTTTGGGGGGAGGAGGGAGGTGGGGGGGGAGGTGGGGTTAAGTGAAGTAATTAAATGAGTTGAGACATAATCACTTAAGAGATAATTATACCTTACGATCATTTGACTGTAATTAGTTGAAAGGTAGAGGTCTTAGTGTGAGGCGTGGTGGATAGTTGGGTAGTGGAGTGGATAACGGAGTGGGTAACGGAGTGGATAGTTGGGTAGTGGTGTGGATAACGGAGTGGATAGTTGGATAGTGGAGTGGATAACGGAGTGGGTAACGGAGTGGATAGTTGGGTAGTGGTGTGGATAACGGAGTGGATAGTGGCGTGGATAACGGAGTGGATAGTTGGATAGTGGAGTGGATAACGGAGTGGATAACGGAGTAGATAACGGAGTGGAAAACGAAATAGATAGTGGAGTAGATAACGGAGTGGATAACGGAGTGGATAACGGAGTGGATAGATGCACCTGACTGGACAGGTGTGCGAGTGAGTGAAAGTTAACCTCGCTCACGCTGCCACTAACTGGTCCACTGTTGACTGTTTGACCGGTAATGTGGTGGACTGGTTGTGTGGTTGACTGGTAGACTAGTTGTGTGGTTGACTGTTTAACCGGTAACGTGGTAGACTGGTTGTGTGGTTGACTGGTTGTTTGGTTGGCTAGTAGACTGGTTGGGGGATTAGTAGACAAATGGTTTGGTTGACTGGTAGACTGATTGTGTGGTTGACTGGTAGATAGGTTCTTTGGTTGACTGGTAAACTGGTTGGTTGGAAGACTGGTTGGCTGGGTTAAGACTGGCTTGCGTTTGACAGTGAGTTGGAAGGATTCAACCAAAGTCTGGGTGAGTGGTTTGAGGATTTACTAATTCATCACTTATCGACCCATTGACCCCCCACCTCTTAAAAATCCTAACGACCCCCCCCCAAAATACCCTTAACGACTTCAAAATACCCCTAACGACCTCACCTAAAAATACCTCCTAACGACCCTCCCCCCAAAAATACTCTTTTAACGACTCTAAAATACTCTAACGACCTCACCCCCAAAAAATACCTCCTAACGACCCCTACCCCCTTTAAAATTTCATTCTACCAGACCTGATTTGGACCCAGAGTCCGTCAGGTGCGCGTAGTGACCTTCTTGACCCTGGAAATAACTAGTGAGTGAGAGGAGGCATATTTTCTTACCTTATCGAGGTCAGGTAAGGGTTGGCGCCATCGTGCCATTCTTTCAGGTCATCTAGGTGGTGTGGGTTGACTGTGGTTGGTGGTGTGGTTGTTGATGGGTAGGTGGTGTGGCTGCTTGGTGGGTGTTGGTTTATATGTACGTGTGTTACTAATGACACACACACACACACACACACACACACACACACACACACACACACACACACACACACACACACACACACGGTATCCTTCATCCACATATACCCTAATTACCTACTAATTGGGGGCCTGCCTACCATCCTTGTTGTGCTAATGAAGGTAATGTGATTAGCTGTGTTTTATATAATGTGTGTGTGGCCAGCCTGTTGAGGAGAGCCATATAGGTCTAGTCTCAGTGGCTCTGTGTGGCCAGCCTGTTGAGGAGAGCCATATAGGTCTAGTCTCAGTGGCTCTTAAGGTAATGTGGCCAGCCTGTTGAGGAGAGCCATATAGGTCTAGTCTCAGTGGCTCTGTGTGGCCAGCCTGTTGAGGAGAGCCATAGTCTAGTCTCAGTGGCTCTAAGGTAATGTGTGTACAGCCTGTTGAGAAGAGCCATAGGTCTAGTCTCAGTGGCTCTGTGTGTGAAGCCTGTTGAGAAGAGCCATATAGGTCTAGTTCTGTGGCTCTTAAGGTAATGTGTGGCTGATCGTTGAGAAGAGCCATATAGGTCTAGTCTCAGTGGCTCTGTGTGCAGCCTGTTGAGGAGAGCCATAGGTCTGTCTCAGTGGCTTAGGTATGTGAGCCTGTTGAGAAGAGCCATATAGGTCTAGTCTCAGTGGCTCTGTGTGCAGCCTGTTGAGGAGAGCCATATAGGTCTAGTCTCAGTGGCTCTTAAGGTAATGTGTCGAGCCTGTTGAGAAGAGCCATAGGTCTAGTCTCAGTGGCTCTTAAGGTAATGTGGACAGCCTTGTTGAGAAGAGCCATATAGGTCTAGTCTCAGTGGCTCTGGTAATGTGCAGCCTGTTGGAGAAGAGCCATAGGTCTAGTCCAGTGGCTCTGTGTGCAGCCTGTTGGAGGAGAGCCATATAGGTCTAGTCTCAGTGGCTCTGTGTGTCGTAATAGCTGTTGAGAAGAGCCATAGGTCAGTCTCGTTTTAGGTAGCCTGTTGAGAAGAGCCATAGGTCTAGTCTCAGTGGCTCTAGGTGTGTACAGCCTGTTGAGAAGAGCCATAGGGTCTAGTCTCAGTGGCTCTGTGGCCAGCCTGTTGAGGAGAGCCATATAGGGTCTAGGTCTCAGTGGCTCTGTGTGGCCAGCCTGTTGAGGAGAGCCACAGGTCCAGTCTCAGGCTCTGTGTGGCCAGCCTGTTGAGAAGAGCCATATAGGTCTAGTCTCAGTGGCTCTGTGCAGCCTGTTGAGAAGAGCCATAGGTCTAGTCTCAGTGGCTCTGTGGCCAGCCTGTTGAGGAGAGCCTAAGGTTCAGTCTCAGTGGCTCTGGGTGGCCAGCCTGTTGAGGAGAGCCATAGGTCTAGTCTCTGTGCCTTAAGGTCAAATTTTTCACATAAGTTTTTTCACTTAAGTAATTATTAGTTGGATTTCAAAGGTTCCAAAGGTAAATTATTGTCGTAATTTCTAGATTTTTGTTGTGAAGTTTGTGAGTTGTGAGGTTTTAGGTTGTGAGGTTATGAGGTATGATGGTGAGGTGTGAGGTTATGAGGTGTGATATGAGGTGTGAGGTTATGAGGTGTGAGGTTAAGGAGGTGTGAGGTTATGAGGTGTGAGGGACCTTTTTTCCCAGTAGGACGTAAGGCATCTAGTGACCACCCTGTCTTGTTCATCCTGGTATTTGAAACCAATACCCGGAGGTGTTTTGAGAGGTGGGGGTAAGGGGGATGTACACATACAAATACACATACATACAGAGATACACACATACAGTTATACACACACACACACACACTCTCTCTCTCTCTCTCTCTCTCTCAGTAACACAAATTTTAACACCTGTCTCTCCTCTCCGACAGGTAAGACCCCAGCAGGTGTCCTCAAGTGTGTACTGCCGCGTCAGGTGCAGGTGCTGACGTCACTCTGTGGGGGATTGACTCGACTGTGATACAACGTTATACAGGGTTCGAACCTCACCAACGCCTCTGGTTCGAACCCTTTGTACCCACGACACTGTACTCGATCATGTTCACTTCCCCAATTGTAAAGTCAGGTGGTCATTCTCAGCTAGGTGGATCGAACCAGCGGCCGTAAGGATAGGAAGTGAGTTGTATCCACAGCCGTTACATCTCTTAATATATCCAGCCTCAGTATATCCAGCCCCTGGTATATCCAGCCTCAGTATATCCAGCCCTCAGTATATCCAGCCCCTCATATATCCAGCCCTCGGTATATCCAGCCTCAGTATATCCAGCCCTGCATATCCAGCCTGCATATCCAAGCCCCCAGTATATCCAGCCCCAGTATATCCAGCCCTCAGTATATCCAGCCCCAGCATATCCAGCCCTCGGTATATCCAGCCCTCAGTATATCCAGCCCTCGGTATATCCAGCCCTCAGCATATCCAGCCCTCAGTATATCCAGCCTCAGTATATCCAGCCCCCATATATCCAGCCCTCAGTATATCCAGCCCTCAGTATATCCAGCCCCTGCATATCCAAGCCCCCAGTATATCCAGCCTCAGTATATCCAGCCCTCAGCATCCAGCCCTCAGATCCAGCCCCTAGTATATCCAGCCCTCAGTATATCCAGCCCTCGGCATATCCAGCCTCAGTATATCCAGCCCTCAGTATATCCAGCCCTCAGTATATCCAGCCCTCAGTATATCCAGCCCTCAGTATCCAGCCCTCGTATATCCAGCCCTCAGTATATCCAGCCCTCGGTATATCCAGCCCTCAGTATATCCAGCCCTCAGTATATCCAGCCCTCAGTATATCCAGCCTCAGCATATCCAGCCCCTGCAATCCAGCCCTCAGTATATCCAGCCCTCAGTATATCCAGCCTCAGTATATCCAGCCTCAGTATATCCAGCCTCCTCAGGTATATCCAGCCCTAGTATATCCAGCCCCTCAGTATATCCAGCCCTCAGTATATCCATAGCCGCCTCAGTATATCCAGCCTCAGTATATCCAGCCCCTCAGTATATCCAGCCCTCAGTATATCCAGCCCTCAGTATATCCAGCCTCAGTATATCCAGCCCTCAGTATATCCAGCCCTCAGTATATCCAGCCCTCAGTATCAGCCTTGTATCCCAGCCTCGTATATCCAGCCCTCAGTATATCCAGCCCTCAGTATATCCAGCCCTCGGTATATCCAGCCTCTCAGTATATCCAGCCTCGGTATATCCAGCCCTCAGTAAGCCCTCAGTATATCCAGCCCTCAGTATATCCAGCCCTCAGTATATCCAGCCCTCAGTATATCCAGCCCTCGGTATATCCAGCCCTCATATCCAGCCCCTAGCCCCTCATATCCAGCCCCAGTATATCCAGCCCTCAGTATATCCTCAGCATATCCAGCCCTCAGTATATCCAGCCCTCAGTATATCCAGCCTCCCAGTATATCCAGCCCTCAGTATATCCAGCCCTCAGTATATCCAGCCCTCAGTATATCCAGCCCTCAGTATATCCAGCCCCTGCATGTCAGCCCTGTGGCATATCCAGCCCGTCAGTTCCGCCTCGTATACAGCCTCAGTATATTCCAGCCCTCGTGATCCCAGCCCCAGGTCCAGCCATATCCAGCCTCAGTATCCAGCCCTCAGTATATCCAGCCCTCAGTATATCCAGCCCTCAGTATATCCAGCCCTCAGTATCCAGCCTCAGTATATCCAGCCCTCAGTATATCCAGCCTCAGTATATCCAAGCCCTCAGTATATCCAGCCCTCAGTATATCCATAGCCCTCAAGTATATCCAGCCTCAGTATATCCAGATCTCCCTCAGCTCTCTCACCTTGCTCTCGCCACATTCCTCTCTCTTCCTCCTCCTTCCTCCCTTCCCTCTCCCTTCCCTTCCTTCCTCCCCTCCTTCTCCTCCTCTCAACTCCCAAAACCTTCCATGACCCCCTTCCATCCCCTTAATCCCTTGCCTTCACCCCTTAACCTCATCCCTTCCTCACCCTTCTTCTCCCTCCTCCCTTCCCCCACCCTAACTACTCTCATCCTCCTTCCCACTCTCTTCCCCTTCCAACTCTCTCTTCCCTAACTGTTTCTCCCTCCCACTCCTCTACCCTCCTTCTCCCTCTCTTCTCTTCCTCCCCCTTCTTCCTCGTCCGACTAACCCAATTTAGCGGGCAATCTTGCTGGCAGGTGTATAGTAATTCTGGCGTTTTCCTGACGCCTGCTAGTACACCTGTTCCATGCGCGGATTTGCCTCCATTATCTAGAGACATTTAGCAGCAGGGCAGGCAATAAGTAAAAAAAGCAGGGAAGCAGACACTAAACAAGGCAATAAGAGAAAACAGGGGAAGGGGTGCAGAAGATGACTAGCAGGCAGCAAGCAGGCAATAAGTAGGAAACATGTGAAAAGCAGGCGGAAGACACAAGAGCAAGGAAGTAGAGATAAGTAGGTAAAACACGTAGGGTAAAACATGCAAAGCAGGCGGAAGCGAGCAGAAATAGCAGAACAAGGCATGTAGTAAACCAACAGATGAAGCAGGAGCAAGCAGGAACAAGCAGGAACAGGCAGGAACAGGCATACTTTAGATCTGTAGATAGATAGATGGATAAATAGATAGATAGATAGATTCTGTGTATTTATTTTACGAATTACTTATGAGAAAGATCGTAATAATGGCTTACTTAAATGACCTTGTTTACTGTGTTACTAACTCTCTCTCTCTCTCTCTTCAACCATCCTTCACTGTCTCCCTTTCCCCCTCCCTTTCCCTCTCCCTTTCTCCTCTCCTTCTCCCTTCTCTCTCTCCCGTCTTCTTCACTCACTCCACCACCGGTGTCGCCTATGATGTTTTTTTAAAGGATTCTTCAAGACGATTTCCAGATGATTGCCCAGTTCTTCCCCCACTCTCCCTCTTTTTTCCTCTCACCTTCTTCCTCTCCCTTCATCCTTCCTCCCTACCCCCTCCCACTCTTCCCTCCCCTCTTCCTCTCCTTCACCTTCTGCTCCCCCCTCCTTCCGTCCTCTCCCCTCTTCCTCCCTCTTCCTCACCTTCCTCTTCCTTCTCCTCCTCCTTTCCCCCTGCCTCAACTTGATGACTATTGATGGTCCGTGGGCGGGGTGGTGGAGGGTGGAGGATGAGCGGAGGCGGGGCAGAGGCCACTCGGGGGTGACCGTGTTGAGGGCGGTGGAGAAGCCACTCTCCGGACCGCCTCGCAATTTGTAGACTGGATCTCAATTTTTATTGAGGAGATTGGATGAGCGGATCAGGGAAGTTTGGGGGGGAGGAGGTGTGGGAGGGAGGAAGGTGGGGAGAGGAAGGAGGTGGGGTAGAGATGGGGTGGGAGGGGAGGAAGGTGGGGGAGAGGAAGGAGGTGGAGATGGGGGTGGGAGGGAGGAAGGTGGGAGAGGAAGGAAGAAAGGAAGGAGGAGTGGGGTAGAGATGGGGTGGGGAGGGGAGGAAGAGTGGATAGAAATGGGGTGGGAGAGGAACAAAGGGATGAATTGGTGGTGGGGGAGGATAAAAGAGGAACTAGGCGAGGGGAGGAAAAGGAAGAGGAGGAGATGAGTAGGAGGGGAGGGTGAACTGGGGAGGAAGAGGGAGAGGAAATTTGGAGGAGGAGGAAATATGAATAGAAATTAATTGAATTATATTATATTATTATTATTTATTATTATTATATATGGTTGTTGTTGTTGTTGTTATGAAAAGGTGAACGAAATTCAGATTCTTGCCAAAGTAAACAAAAATAACGTATTTTTTTGTTAGATTCTAATTTGTATATGTGTGTGTGTGTGTGTGTGTGTGTCTGCCTGTCTGTCTGTTTATCTGTTTGTCTGTCTGGGATGCACAGCCATCTGGGATAGTCTACAAACCATTGGGATAGTCACACAACCATCTGGGATAATCTACCACCATCTGGGATAGTCCCACCATCTGATAGTCTACCACCATCTGGGATAGTCACACATGGATAGTCACCACCATCTGGTTATCGTCAACATCTGGGATAGTCCACAACCATCTGGGATAGTCTACCAATCTGGGATAGTCCACAACCATCTGGGATAGTCTACCACCATCTGGGATAGTCCACAACCATCTGGGATAGTCTACCACCATCTGGGATAGTCACACAACCATCTGCAGCGTTGCCCATAAAACCAACTCGACCAATCGACCAAGAAATACGATATTCTGTGACCTGCTGTCTATTCCTTGGAGGAGGGGGCTAGGGAGAAGGGGGAGGGGAGAGGGCTAGGAGAGGGAGGGGGGAGGGGCAGGAGAGAGGGAGGGGCTAGGAGGGGCTAGGGAGAAGAGGGGAGGGGCTAGGAGGAGGGGCTAGTGAGGAAGAGGGAGGGGGCTAGGGGGCGGGAGGGGGGGGGGGGGGCGGGAGGGGCAGGAGGGGGGAGGGAGGGGGGGGCTAGGGGGGGGGGGGGGGCTAGGAGAGGGGGGAGGGAGGGTGGGGAGGGGGGCTGGAGGGGAGGGAGAGAGGAGGAGGAGGGGGTAGGGAGAAGAGGGGTGGAGAAGGGGGGGCAGGGAGAAGGAGGGAGGCTAGAGAAGAGGGGAGGGGCTAGAGAGGGGCTAGGGAGAAGAGGGGAGGGGCTAGGAGGAGGGGCTAGAGGGGAGGCTAGGAGGAGGGGCTAGTGAGAAGAGGGAGGGGCTAGAGAAGAGGGGGGCTAGGAGGAGGGCTAGGAGAAGAGGGAGGGGCTAGGATGAGGGGCCAGTGAGAAGAGGGTGGGGCTAGGGAGGAGGAGGCTAGGGAGAAGAGGGGCTAGAAGGAGGGGGTAGAGAAGAAGAGGGAGGGGCTAGGTGAAGAGGACTAGAGAAAGAGAGGGAAGAAGGTTAAGAGATAGGGGGCTACCCTTCTCCTCTTCTTTACCCTTCCTCCTCTTTTTACCCTTCCTCCCTCCTCCTCCTCTACCCTTCCTCCTCCTCCTCCTCCTCCTCCTCCTCCTCCTCCTCCTCCTCCTCCTCCTCCTCCTCCTCCTCCTCCTCCTCCCTCCTCCATATGTCAGTCACAAATCGTCGTAAATGTAATATCGACAAGAACTTTATCCAATAATAAACACTGATGTTGACTCTCTTCCTCCTTTCTTTTTCAGCTTTCTTCCTCCCTCCTCCTCCTCCTCCTCCTCCTCCTCCTCCTCCTTTCTTCCTCATCTACCCTTCTTCTTTCTTCCTCCTCTTTCCTTCTCCACTTTTCCTTCCACACACACACACACACACACACACACACACCCTCCTATATTAAAGCCTATATTAAATAACCCATCCAGTGAGTGATTTACAGGTATGACCGTGATTGATGGTGATTTATTACCTGTGGGGGCTTTTATTGTGGTGTTGTGAGGGTGTGATGGTGGTGGTGGTAGGTGGTGTGATGATGGTGGTGGTGGTGGTGATGATGGGTGGTGATGATGGGATGGTGGGGTGATGGTGGTGGTGATGTGGTGGTGATGATGGTGATGGTGGTGATGGTGGTGGTGTGGTGATGGTGGTGGTGTGTGGTGTGGTGATGGTGGTGGTGGTGGTGATGGTGATGATGATGGTGGTGGTGGTGGTGATGATGGTGGTGTAGGTGGTGGTGATGATGATGTGGGTGGTGATGGTGGTGGTGGTGGTGGTGGTGGTGTGATGATGATGGTGATGATAATTGTGGTGAACATTTTGAAAGGTGTATTAATAATAATGATAATAATAATAATAATAATAAAATAATATAATAATTATCGTGGTATTACAGTGTCAGCGACTGGTTTTAGGATGACTCTCTCTCTCTCTCTCTCTCTCTCTCTCTCTCTCTCTCTCTCTCTCTCTCTCTCTTCTCTCTCTCTCTCTCTCTCTTCTCTCTCTCACCTGTCTCTTATCGGTAATTGAACTTAAGGTAAACACAGAAGCAGAAAATTACCTGTTGACTATTTTTGGTCAGAAGTTAGAGTGTGGAGTTAATCTCAGTCGTCCGGATTATCTGAGGTTAAGTTAGGTTTCCGGAGGTTAGGTTAGGTTAAGTTAGGTTAAGTTATGTTTCCTAAGGTTAGGTTAGTTAAGTTAAGTTAAGTTAGGTTTCCAGAAGTTAGGTTAAGTTATGTTTCCAGAGGTTGGGGTTAGGTTAGGTTAGGTTAAAGTTCTCAGAAGTTGGTAATGTTAATTTTCCTCGTGAGATGTATGAAGTTAATGGTACCTTAACTCGGTATGTTTATTTAACACCAGTTAGGAGGTATTAACACTGAGAGCCTACCATGACTAGATGCCACCTGAGCAGACAACAAACACCACAGCAGACACCTCAAGAGACATCTCAGTACACAGCAGACAACAGACACCACAGTAAACAACAAACACATATTCAGCAGACACCACAGTAAACAACAGACACCGCCTCAGCAGACAATAGGGCGTGTAGAACCACATGATCCAAGACATAGCAGACAATGGCGGGTCAAGATTGTCTTACTCGAGGAGGAGGGAGAGAAGGAGAAAGACAAGGAGGAAGAGAAGGAGGAAAGGAGATAGAGATAGCGGAGGAGAAGGGAAGGTTGAAGAGGGTGAGATAGGAAGGATATGAGGAAGAGGAGGAGGAAGAGGGAGTAAGAGATAGGAGAAGGAGGGAGAAAGGGAGGTTGAAGAGGGTGAGATAGGAAGGGTATGAGGAAGAGGGAGGAGGAAGAGGGAGTAAGAGATAGGAGAAGGAGGGAGAAGGGGGAGGTTGAAGAGGGTGAGATAGGAAGGGTAAGGAGGAAGAGGAGGAGGAAGAGGGAGTAAGAGATAGGAGAAGGAGGG